AGTACACGGCCAGGGAGTCCAGTCTGACCTTTTATATATTGTTTGACCTTTGACCTACCAGTATCAGGGCCTTGTCTGTGCCGTTCAGACACTTAGAGTCACTGTTCCAGTACACGGCCAGGGAGTCCAGTCTGACCTTTTATATGTTGTTTGACCTTTGACCTACCAGTATCGGGGCCTTGTCTGTGCCGTCCAGACACTTAGAGTCACTGTTGTAGTACAAGGCCAGGGAGTCCAGTCTGACCTTTTATATGTTGTTTGACCTTTGCCCTACCAGTATCGGGGCCTTGTCTGTGCCGTCAAGACACTCAGTCACTGTTCCAGTACACAGCCAGGGAGCCCAGTCTGACCTTTTATATATTGTATGACCCTTGACCTACCAGTATCAGAGCCTTGTCTTTGCCGTCCAGACACTCAGAGTCACTGTTCCAGTGCACGGCCAGAAATCCAGTCTGACCTTTTATATATTGTTTGACCTTTGACCTACAAGTATCAGGGCCTTGTCTGTGCCGTCAAGACACTAAGTCACTGTTCCAGTACACAGCCAGGGAGTCCAGTCTGACCTTTTATATATTGTTTGTCCTTTGACCTACCAGTATCAGGGCCTTGTCTGTGCCGTCCAGACACTCAGAGTCACTGTTCCAGTACACGGGCAGGGAGTCCAGTCTGACCGTTTATATATTGTTTGATCTTTGACCTACCAGTAACAGGGCCTTGTCTGTGCCGTCCAGACACTCAGAGTCACTGTTCCAGTACACGGCCCGGGAGTCCAGTCTGCCCTTTTATATATTGTTTGCCCTTTGACCTACCAGTAACAGGGCCTTGTCTGTGCCGTCCAGACACTCAGAGTCACTGTTCCAGTACACGGGCAGGGAGTCCAGTCTGACCGTTTATATATTGTTTGATCTTTGACCTACCAGTAACAGGGCCTTGTCTGTGCCGTCCACACACTCAGAGTCACTGTTCCAGTACACGACCAGGAATCCAGTCTGACCTTTTATATATTGTTTGACCTTGACATACAAGTATCAGGGCCTTGTCTGTGCCATCCAGACACTTAGAGTCACTGTTCCAGTACACGGCCAGGGAGTCCAGTCTGACCTTTTAAATATTGTTTGATCTTTGACCTACCAGTAACAGGGCCTTGTCTGTGCCGTCCAGACACTCAGAGTCACTGTTCCAGTACACGGCCAGGGAGCCCAGTCTGACCTTTTATATATTGTTTGACCTTTGACCTACCAGTATCAGGGCCTTGTCTGCACCGTCCAGACACTCCGAGTTACTGTTCCAGTACACGGCCAGGGAGTCCAGTCTGACAAGCTGTCAAAAAAATAAATATTACATTTATGTTTACTGTGAAAACTTCAGAACATAATCTAGGGAGATATGTGTTTTGAAGTAGCGCAACTGGAGTTTAAGTTCAATTTTTTTTTTATGTTGCAACATAATGTCATTTCATTAATAATAATTAATCTTTACCATCAAACTAATAGGGATGTTTTGCAATAAATTACACAGTAGATATAATACAGACATCAACCAACAAAAACAAATATATGTCAGTATTAAGTTATGTTCACAGTTGAGGTATATATTTGCTTACATTAAATCAATAAAGGAATGTTTTTACAAAGTGTAATTGGACAAACATTCAATGAGACGACATTTATTTTTTCTAATTATGGTGCGCTGAAAATTTTCAAAGGTTGCTGTAATCATTCCTGTAGGTTTTTGTTATGAAGATGGTACTGTCAAGCTGTGTTTAATTAAAAACATCTGCCCAGTACCATGTCGGGAGAGTCGTTACTTGGACAGCTAACAATACGTAATTTGTTTGCAGGAAGCTGAAGATAAATCACCGCAATTAGGACACAATGGGACGTGACAGGACATGCATGTGTAACAGTACCCAGCCCCCCTGTAAAGGTAGGGACAGTCATGTGTAACAGTTCCCAGCCCCCTGTAAAGGTAGGGACAGTCATGTGTAACAGTACCCAGCCCCCCTGTAATGGTAGGGACATGTCATGGGTAACAGTACCCAGCCCCCCTGTAAAGGTAGGGACAGTCATGTGTAACAGTACCCAGACCCCCTGTAAAGCTAGGGACATGTCATGTGTTAAAGTTCAAAGCCCCCATGTAATGGTAGGGACAGTCATGTGTAACAGTACCCCGCCCCCCTGTAATGGTAGGGGCATGTCATGTGTAACAGTACCCAGCCCCCCTGGAATGGTAGGGACATGTCATGTGTAACAGTACCCAGCCCCCCTGTAATGGTAGGGGCATGTCATGTGTAACAGTACCCAGCCCCCCTGTAAAGCTAGGGACATGTCATGTGTTAAAGTTCAAAGCCCCCCTGTAAAGGTAGGGACAGTCATGTGTAACAGTTCCCAGCCCCCTGTAAAGGTAGGGACAGTCATGTGTAGCAGAACCCAGCCCCCCTGTCAAGGTAGGGGCATGTCATGTGTAACAGTACCCAGCCCCCCTGGAATGGTAGGGACATGTCATGTGTAACAGTACCCAGCCCCCTGTAAAGGTAGGGACAGTCATGTGTAGCAGAACCCAGCCCCCCTGTCAAGGTAGGGGCATGTCATGTGTAACAGTACCCAGCCCCCCTGTAATGGTAGGGACATGTCATGGGTAACAGTACCCAGCCCCCCTGTAAAGGTAGGGACATGTCATGTGTAACAGTACCCAGCCCCCTGTAAAGGTAGGGACAGTCATGTGTAACAGTACCCAGCCCCCCTGTAAAGCTAGGGACATGTCATGTGTTAAAGTTCAAAGCCCCCCTGTAATGGTAGGGACAGTCATGTGTAACAGTACCCAGCCCCCCTGTAATGGTAGGGACATGTCATGTGTAACAGTACCCAGCCCCCCTGTAATGGTAGGGACATGTCATGTGTAACAGTACCCAGCCCCC